CAGTCACCTCTGTGGGTTGGAATTACAAATCTCTTCTCTTTTAGGCAATATTTCAATTTTTTTGTAATATGTCTGTATTACTCTACTAATTCTAAAATGATTAAAATCCTATGTTAATGTGATCCATTCATTACTCATCTATAGAGTAATTAAAGTACATTAATCCTATTTTTGAAAGAATTTAAAGCCTTCTCAGGACTCAGTTCCATGTCAGCTCCGTGGCAGCAGAAGTTCTCCAGGAGGTCGTGTCTCTTCTGAATCAGCATCCCATAGAGGTGAGGAAGAAGTACCAGACATGGACAATGAAGACTACAATAGATGAGAGGTTCTGTTGAAAGAAATTAAAACCAACATTCACAGAGAATAATCCAATATTCATGGAGCAGAAGGCTTCATTCTACTAAGATGAAAATAGTCCACGAATAGATCTGAGGATTCAAAGAATGCCTACCCAAATCCCAGGTGGTGTTTTGCAGGAATTGACAATCAATCTAAAATTCACGTGGAAAATCCAGGGGTTCAGAATACATGAATGAATCTTGAAAAAGAAGAACAAATTTCGAGGAATGGAAAGTCAGATGGAACCCATGGTTAATACAAAAGCACTTTAATCTGAAGATACCTGAGATTCAATAGATGTAGAAGAAAACCTGTCATGGAAGCCAATTCTCTCCTCCCCCTTTGCCCTATTAAGTTAGGTTGATAAAAAAGCCTTTAACTTTCACTATTTAACATGGTAGATACTTTTCTGGTTGGCTCCTGCGTGTGTAAAATTAAACCGTTTCTTTCATTCATCTCCTCTTTACTTCTGTGGGCTCTTTGGGAGGGACTCTGGATGATAGGGACCTGCTCTTTTCTTACCTTCTTTAGTTAAATCTTTTGTCCATGGTGAAGTGTTTAAAAAAAAGAAAAGGCTCATAGGTTTTGGGTCAGATTTGGAACTTGTATACCTTTGGAGACCCCCTGGAGGAACAAGGGGGTTCAATACCGCTGGAAGAATTTACTGCTTGTCTTGTCCAAATGCCTAACAAGACGCTATTTGCAAGGTTTTTTTTTTTTTTTAAAGATTCTTACTCTAAAACAAATACCGTAACTAAACCTCTTGAATGATCAAATAGAAAGAAAAAAGGAGAATCATGTCTGGCCTAAGAACACTTCTTTAACAAAACGGAAGGACAGAATCAGACTCAGAGCAAAAATTAAAATCCACTTATACCGTCAACCCTCCCACTCTCTTGTACACTGTCCTCATGTAATCTGCCAGATGCGCTTTGGAGAAGGCCCTTTGCCCGGAACTCGTGCTCATTTTCAGAGCTCGGCCAAGCGGGAGGTTGGTCCCCAGGGCCTGAGAGGGGATATTTGTGAAATCTTCCCTGCTGAGACGCACCGGACTGACGGGGACTGTGTGCTCTGAGGGAGTGAGAGCACACCGATCCTCTGTGGAAGCGTCTCTGTGATCATCCCAAAGGCACACAGCTCTAACTCTGGACACGGGAATTTTTGATTGGCATCTAAGTTGGAAATCTCCTCCTGGATAGAAAGAAGCAGATTCAAGTTGTTGCGATTGGATGGGCAGGTCGGCCTCTCGAATTTTTCGATGAGGAGGACACGCAATTCTCTGCAGAAGTAGGAACACCCATCCCTGCTCTGCTGACTTCATCTACAGAGAAACAGAGACGCGGCTCTAGGGGGAATTCAACATCCATCAACCCTTCTTACCGACGTCAACGTCCCCATTTTATTCTCCTGTCAGGTCTCTGCACAAAAACTGTGGCTCAGCCCCAAATATCACATACCCATCACCCTGAACCACTCTGTGTCTGTGTCCAACTCGAGCATTAAGGCCTGTGACCGTTACTGACAAATCGTGTCCCCCTTTCAGCCCGTCTCCCGCCATCATCCCAGCCCAACCTCGGTGTCTCTCTCCAGGTCAGCAGCACTCTTCCCACTGGCTTCTCATCAGCTTACCTTGCCTTGCTTCCATTGCTTATTCCCCATATGTTACCCACAGTGGTCTTATTAAAGTATGAATCAGATCAAGACGTTCCGCTTTGCAAAATACTCTCGTGATATTCCATTCTATTCAGAAGGATATCCGGAGTCCCTTCCAAGGCCCTGAGTGATCCGGTCCCTCACCCGTCTCTGCAGCCTCAGTTCTCACCGTTCTGCTCCAGCCCACCTTCACCGCCCAGATGGTCCCCACCAGGACAGCTGTGTTTGTAACTCCAGGTCTCGTACTTACACTTCTCCCGTGCTGGGAGGCTTTTCTTGTCTGTTACCTACGTGGCTTATCCTTTTGCTTCATTCAGGACTTTGTTCAAATTATTTTACCCTCAGAGAAGACTTATCTGACCACATTATTTAAAATAGCACGCACATGTTTCCTATTCAATCATTTTCTCTACTAAAATGTTTTATGTTTCTTTGCGGCAATTATTAGTACCTGACAGTACATCATATATTTATTTGCTTACTGGTTTATTGTCTATCTTTCTTACTAGACCTATATTCATGGAACCACATATAACTGTTTTAACCAGTAAATTTCAAACCGCCTTTAAATGAATTCTTTTATAAGATGAGAATTTCAAAGGCTTCCATGGGTTGCTTAGGGGAAAAAAGAGAAAGGATTCAGGTTGAACTAGGTTATTAAAGACCTGGGAGTTGGTTATTTATTTGATACATAGTAGTGTGTATCTGTTAATCCCAAACTCCTAATCTAGCAAAAGACCGAGCTGATTACTATTTTTAATAGACTTTTTTGTTTCTTTTTAAATTTGGGTTGTTTGAGATCTCTTTTCTCCTTTGTTATTTATCTTTTTTAAAATAATTTTTCTTATTATTTTTTTAAATTGAGGTACTGTGAATTCAATCCAGCATGTACTCTACCCATTGAATTATACCCTCCCCTCCAAAGACAATTATTTTTATACTTTGAGAATACCACATTGAATTAAGATTTTTTGTTCCATTTTCACTTCATAGAGTTTATAACTGAGGGAGAGTGTCAGAGGAAGCCCTGGGCCATCTCTTCCTTCTCAGCGGGTTACTACACAGCACAGGAGCT